ATTATTACTATATACACACATATATTTTGTTGCTGTATTTTTGTCCTCTCCATCTATGCAGGTATGCAGACCGATAGTGTGTTGTCTTTTTGTGTGTGACTGTGTTTTCTTGGTTTATAACTCACATATCTTCTATTCTCTTTTTCAAACTTTCCCATTACATTTCTCCTTTTTCTTTTTCTTAAAAAATTAAAATTAAAAAATTACTCACCGTCTGTTTCTGTTTGCATAATTGTAATCTTGGCTGCGCACATTATTTTGATACTTACTCCATTTTGYACCCACATAGACAATGGCTCCAATGTTTACGATTTAAACCACTGGAGTACACTTAAAATGAAGAAATAGTATATTTGAACCAGTTTTCCCTTAATCATTGTTTATAATTAATATTTATTTATCATTCATCAATGAAAAAACAGACTTTGGACTTCACAGACAGTTCCTTCAACCCATGACAGAACATTAACCTCCTCAGTCAGAGGAGATGATCTGTTGATGGAAACAAAGGACATATTTGACCAAACTTGGGTTCAGTTTAGCCACAGGCTGCTCTGACATCACATACTTCAGCCAACAGAGCTGAGCACACAAATGAATCAGACAACTACGTGGGCCTCGCAGTTTGCTGCTGGACGGGTTTGACCGGTTTGACGGCGGGTAAAAATACTGCACACCTCAGCTAAAAGATGAAGTGACAGAATAAAGTTATAACTCATCATTCTCCCAGATCACCAMCTGAAACAATAAACTTTCTCTGGTTTACCATAAAGTATTTAACACTTAATTTAGGCACTTTCAAGACATCCAAGATAGAGGATGAAAAATATAAASTTGTTTTTATTCCTGCTGCTCACCCAGAGTAGTAATGTACAGATGCAGCCAAGGCGTTGCCTGATCCACTAGGAAGGATACCCAGTGGGGTCTGGATGGCCTCTTCACAGTCCGAACGCTCCAGCAGACCATTTACCACCTGACACGCACAATTCACAGAAAAAACAATCACAAAATGCAGCGTTTTTTGTCATACCGCTTTAGTAAAAGAAATGATCATTTATTTATTATCAAAGCACATTAACACCAGTGATAAYCTGCATTGATTCCTGCGTACCTCGTAGAGAAGTCCGTCTCCTGACATGATGACGATAGCGTCCCACTGTGACAGATCGGCTTCTTTCACATGCTCCCGGGCGTGATCCTGCCTCTCTATAAAACACACACACACACACGTGTCAACATCTTCCCTCTGCAGGTGTGTCTTTCCTCTCCCACAAAATGGACAGCTGGAAACATTTGTTCGTCACATTTTTTGAGAACAAAGGTCGTGGTTGGTCGTCGCGCAGATCCAGAAACTCGTGTTTTAGTTGGAAAAACGCCTGCCTGCTCCTTATGACCTTTCCTTATATAATCTACATTTATGGAGTGTGTGTGTATAAATATATAAAGTATATGCAGTGAGTGAGTTATCCCCATTGTAGTGGATATAAATCACAGAGAAATCAGGTTAAACTTCAATAATTAAAACGTTTACAAACATTTTGCATATTGTCGACAAGATGGAGGTCAACCTGTCCCTGTCTGCCTGCTTAAAGTTTCATTTGTTCTGCAGACAAAATGAAAAAAACTATTGTTTAATACACAGTCTCCCATATCAGAATCAAAACACCCCCGACTCTGCAGGCRTGTGACCTCGATATATCAGAGAGTCACGCTGGGATATCTGTAAACAAACTCATCTTTCTGCTGTCTTCATTAAATGTTTACAATATTTCAGGTCAGAATGTACTTTCCAGTATATAACACTTAATCTTAAACAGTTAGAGATGGTGACTAAAAACAATGAGAGCCTGTTTTTATGGTAGTGATGATCCACAACTTCAATCCTTTTCTCCCAAGTTAAAGAATTACAGTCAAACAGAAAGCCGATCCACCGTCGTTAATGAAGCGTTTAGCACAAAGCCAATTAAATTAGGTCGACTCAATTATCCAGGAGCACTTTGACAAATTGATCTGATTCTGACCTGAAACACAGAGTTCTGCAGAGACGTTTCTATAGTCCCACCGCCCCACATGTCCCAAACCCTGCAACGAAACMTCACATCCCGTTTCCTCAGAGCAAAGACTGAGACGGACTGAAGGGCCTAATTGCCAAAAGGACTGCAATGCAGTGCTGCTGCATCATGGTGGGACTTTGTATTCACTGAGAGGACAGCAGAGCAGAGACGTTTGTCCACAGAGGTAATAGAAAGGTTTGGGATAACAGAAAAAACTGAATCACATTTTTTTAAACGTCCTCAGAGTGATGAAATGAAAAAGAAGTTGTTTAAAAATAAAGAGCGGTGCAGGAAATGCATGAACATTTTTTGTTTGATAGTAAAAATACAAACATACAGAAAAGGAGAACTGAGCAGCTTATAGATAAAATAAAATTGTCAGCTGATTATAGAAATTTAAAAATTTAAAATAAAAAAGGCCTGATTTGAATGAACAAGTGGCTTTAGCAGAACTTGAAGAGGTATGAATGAATCAGGTGAGCTGGAGCAGGGAAACCAACACAACATGCAAGGTAGCGGCCCCTCTGAGGACCAGGATTGGCGAAGCTTGACCTCTGGTTTTAATGGGTACCTGTTGTATTTTTGGTAGCAGAAACATCACATGACCAGCTGTCATGTTTGTGTAGGAGCGTGCGAGGTGACAGGAAGTGCTGCTGTCACATTAATCTRGTCTCACCTCACAAAACAAAGTCTGATGAGTCGCCACCTCATCGTCACACGCATCCTGACTGCAGCTCGCTTTGATAAAAGACGGCCTTTCTCCACCCGTGCAACAACTGGTGCTGTGTGTGTGTGTGTGTGTGTTGATGGAGCAGGAAACAGAACGTTTGCAGCTTACTCAGCTGCTGGGAGGTTCCTGAGGGTGTAGTCATAGAAGCACTCGTTTGTACAGAAACACACAATGACAGAAATAGATTCAATACCAAACACTGTCCCTCTGACTGACACACACACACACACACACACACACACGTTCGCCCAGCTGTCCATTTGGGGACATTCTATGACTTCTATTACATTTCTACAGCCTAACCCTGACCACAAACCCTAAGGCTAACCTCACAGGTACCTACCTGACCCTAAAACTAACCTAAACTCAATTCACACCTTGGTCCTAAACCCAACCCACCAATGGCATTTAAACCAAACAGAGACTCGACTTTTATCCCCAAATACACCAGCTGTCTCCTAAGGTAGGCATTTTGTCTTAAAATTGCTCCCAAATGTCACCAGAAACAACTACACACACACACACACACTTGTATTTATGCCCTTATTAGGACATTGTATTGACATTTCCGTAGCCTAACCCGGTTCCTAACCCTAACCATTACAAGTGCATCCCTAACCCAAACCTAAACATATCCCCTGTACTGAACAATAAGTCAGAGGATGGACAAAAAGGGTGTTAAAGGTTCTAAACACACCCAGGAGTTTTGATAATTTAAAAAAAAAAAAAACCTGAACTGCTTCAATTAAACTCTACAAGATGAGGCTTCCTGCCCSCCGCTCAGGCTGAACCAGTAACAGAACTTTAAACACGGGCATTTCTTTTTTCTTTTTTTTTTAAGTGGTGAGCCTCTGGAAAAAGTATCTAAACTGAGTGACAGTCACGGTACGGCTCGGCTCAGAGGCTGTGATTACAGCTGGAAGCTGTAATTACGGCGGAATGACGTCCTGCCTCACAAACACTGGATAAACCACTCTTAGCTTTTTGAAAAAATCACTTGTGAGGCTTTTTTGCCAAAAAAAAGGTGGAACCAGTTATAAACCAGGACTGGTGCTAGAGCTGGTTCTTAACTGGTTCTATAAAAATGAACCCGTTGGGTTCTCCACACCCATAAAGATCAATTAGAGTCATGTCATTACATCACATAAAACTCRTTTCCACTCAGTGTTTTATCCTCTTTTTGTTGAGTTTCTGTAGAGAATCACAAAGCAGGYAGACATGCTGCTCTGTAAAGCTGCTGCAAACAGGAGTTTCTGTTAAAGCAGCTGAAGAAATGAACAAATCTAATATATTTAATAAGAGTTTYGCTGAAAACTGATCAATGAGATTCTATAATCTAACATTTACTTTATAACTGTCCATAAAGAAATTTTAAAAACAACACTGCAGGAAGATGAGTTCATGTTATTCCACTACTAATTAAACTCTCAATTCATGTTGAAGCAAAAATATTTTTGTTTTGTTCTAAATTAAAACTGAAATGAACTCAGGACTTGTAGACATGATGTTCTCAACGTTTTTCTCTGGTTGCAAACATTTGGTTTTAGTTGTGGAAAAAAGAACAGGTGCTAAATTAGCTCCGACTCTGATAACTGCAGGTGAAATAAAAAACTAAACGCTTTACAGCAAAGTCAAAATGTGCGTCTTTCACACCTTCATAACTTCAGGTAATAAAAAAAAGAACATCTGGAACATTTCCAGAAACGCCCTCCTTCCCATCGCAGCAGTTTCACCTTACAGGTGAGGACTCTGCCTCCAGGTAAAACAACACAGATTCACCTTTACCTGAAAATAACCGCCTTAAAACTCTAAGAATGTATGCTATGCATCTGTTTTGTAAAGACCTGACAGCCCTCGGCTCATTCAGCAACTGGTAATAAAAACAGACAGTTATTGATTTTTTGAAAAGCACTTTGTGAGAAACAAACCAGATTTTATTTTTAAAAAGCATCACATCTTTACCACATTAATCATAACCAAATAAAACTGAGGCTCATTAAATAAAAGCCTTAATCTCCTTTCTGGAAAAACATCGGAACACATTTGTCTCAAGAGATAAGAGAATCTAAAAAAATCAATGAATCTGCTGTTTGAGCAGTAAATTTATGRGTGCAGAGATCAGGTGGGAACGACCGGAAACAGAAGCAGGAGCAGATTTAACGGCTTCTATCCCTTAATTTGAGCCAAACAAAAACAAGCAACAAAAACAAACTGCAGCCTGATCCTTTCCATGTTGAAACCTGACCAGAATTATTTTTAGTTAATAAATCTCATCATCTTCCACAGCCCCCGATCGTTTCATCGTGAAATAAGAAAATTATTCTTCACGGGTGAAACTGGTGGCGAGTGGTTTCTGTGACATTTCTGTGCCAGAGTCCCCTCACAGGATTCAGTTTGAGTCRGTGCTTCTGAGCAGTAAAGAAAGAAGATGTCAAACTGTCAGCATCATGCAGCGTTTTCACTCAGCTCCAGTCAAATCTTAAGCCTTGAACATGTTTTAATGACTATCGAGGACATTTCAACAGCTCTGTCCTGTTATTGACTTCTTTTTTTTACCTTCATATTGTTGTTGGTTTAATATTCCTTCATGTGTTGTTCTTAAAAAAACACCTGTTAAAACAAGTCGAGACACTTCTTTATCTAAACAACTGAATAAAAATTAAAAAACAGACAAAAGAGCAGCACGGTAGTGAGGCTGTTTGAAGATTTAAGGTTCTTCTGACAAATATTTTAAATCTGGATCAGGAACATGCAGTCGGAGCAGGAGAGAACAATGTTTTTTAAATTATTTCTGTCCGACAGACGTTTTAGGAAGCCTGAGCAGTGGGGTGGATTGCCCAGGAGTCACATCTTTGTCCCATTTTTACATATTCACACACACACACACACACACACACACACACACACACACACACACAAAAAAGAAAAAAAACCTCCCAGCAGTGCGGTCATCATCCATCCTCCAACCACTGGGCAGCTACAACAGCTGCCACCCTGCCAAGAGTCCAATAATAAGTCCGTCCTCTCTTGTTAGCRTTCACATTCATGACTCTTGCAGCTGTATTCTGTCTGCAGAGGCCAGAGGCATTAAAACAACAACAAAACATGCAGCTTCTGTGTCGCCGCCACACACTAAAGAGCAYATTCAAACTGGAAATGTGCAACGAGAGTGTGTGCATTCACGCAGAAAACCTTCCCATTCTGCTTCCCCTGAACTATAAATACAGAGAAATGATTCATTTCTTTCTACTGTACAATTTGGTTTGCATTAAAGGTCACATAATTTAGGCTCCTTCCAACCTATTACAAAGAAAAATGTGAAAGTCCTCCTTCAGCGTGAGGAACATGGCCGTATTGTTTTCCTCAAGTTTTTTTTATACCAGACATGTTGCAGCTATAGGCAACAAAAGACTAATCGGTCAACTCAAAAACAAAAAAAAACTGGGAGARACTCAGTGTCCAAACAAATTTAACAAACACTCTGATGACTCTCAGGAGTTGCAGGCTGTTCGAGTGAAGATGAAGCATTTTATAAAAAATAACACTTTAAATACGCCATTTAGCATCTTTAACGAGGTCCATGTAACTGAAGCAGTAAACAGAAGAAAGCACCATAGCACAGGCGCCAACTCCAGCTAGCACAGAACGTAAGTGATTGAGAACAAAGAATAAACTCGACATATAAAATAAGTTTAAAAATAAAGTTAAGCTCAATGGATGCAGAAACTGATACAGTGGTTTGCAAAAGTATTCATACCCCTTGAACTTTTCCATATTTTGTCACATTACAACCACAAACATAAATATATTTCACTGGAATTTAATGTGAAAGACCAACACAAAGTGGTATACAATTGTGAAGTGGAAGCAAAATTTTACATGAATCAAAACATTTTTTACAAATAAAAAACTGAAAAGTGCGATGTGCAAAATTATTCAGCCCCCCTGAGTCAATACTTTGTGGAGCCACCTTTTGCTGCAATTACAGCTGCAAGTCTTTTAGGGTATGTCTCCACCAGCTTTGCACATCTAGTGACTGCAATTCTTGCCCATTCCTCCTTGCAAAACAGCTCAAGCTCAGTCAGATTGGATGGAGAGCGTTTGTGAACAGCAGTTTTGAGATCTTGCCACAAATTCTCAATTGGGTTTAGGTCTGGACTTTGACTGGGCCATTCTAACACATGAATATTCTTTTTTTTAAAACACTCCATTGTAGCTTTGGCTTTATGTTTAGGGTCGTTGTCCTGCTGGAAGGTGAACCTCCGCCCCAGTCTCAAATCTTTTGCTGACTCCAACAGGTTTTCTTCCAAGATTGCCCTGTATTTGGCTCCATCCATCTTCCCATCAACTTTGACCAACTTCCCGGTCCCTGCTGAAGAGAAGCACCCCCAGAGCATGATGCTGCCACCACCATATTTGACAGTGGGGATGGTGTTTTCAGAGTGATGTGCAGTGTTCTTTCTCCGCCACACATAGCGTTTTGCATTGTGGCCAAAAAGTTCAATTTTGGTCTCGTCTGACCAAAGCACCTTCTTCCACATGTTTGCTGTGTCCTCAACATGGCTTCTGGCAAACTGCAAACGGGACTTCTTATGGTTTTCTTTTAATAATGGCTTTCTCCTTGCCACTCTTCCATAAAGACCACATTTGTGTAGTGCACGACTAATTGTTGTCCTGTGGACAGTTTCCCCCACCTGAGCTGTGGCTCTCTGCATTTCATCCAGAGTCACCATGGGCCTCTTGGCTGCCTCTCTGATCAGTGATCTCCTTGTTCGGCCTGTAAGTTTAGGTGGACGGCCTTGTCTTGGCAGGTTTACTGTGGTGCCATACTCTTTCCATTTCCGGATGATGGATTGAACAGTGCTCCGTGAGATGTTCAAAGCTTGGGAAATCTTTTTATAACCTAAGCCTGCTTTAAACTTCTCCAAAACCATATTCCTAACCTGTCTGGTGTGTTCTTTGGACTTCATGATGCTGTTTGCTCCCCACTATTCTCTTAACCAACATCTGAGGCCGTCACGGAGCAGCTGTATTTGTACTGAGATTAGATTACACACAGGTGGACCCTTTTGAGTCATTAGCAGTCATCAGGCAACTTCTGAATGCAATTGGTTGCACTCAGGGAAAAGGGGGCTGAATACTTTTGCACGTTGCACTTTTCAGTTTTTTATTTGTAAAAAATGTTTTGATTCATGTAAAATTTTGCTTCCACTTCACAATTGTATACCACTTTGTGTTGGTCTTTCACATGAAATTCCAGTGAAATATATTTATGTTTGTGGTTGTAATGTGACAAAATATGGAAAAGTTCAAGGGGTATGAATACTTTTGCAAACCACTGTACATGATGAAGGATCTGACTGCTCAATTACAAATAAAAAACTGATTTATTTGAATAGTTTTGCATGTTGCTTGATTTTGCATTTGTACGTCTATTATTTGTTTTGGTTTGTGTTTATTTAACCCAATCTCAACATGGTTATTTTTTTGTCTGTAAATTGTTTTTGTTGTTACATTGAGGCAATAAAGTAAAAAGAAATACAAAAAAGTAAGAAGATGGTAATTTAAACCAGACATCTCATGATGTAAGTATTACATTACAAACACAAAATAACACCTCCAATCATTTGCAGCATCCTCTCCCTCTCTGCCCCCTCCCCTCGCCTCRTTTCGTTTTCATGCCATCATTATCCCGATCAGCTCTGCCTCTGACCCATATGAAGACAGAACTGTTATGTAATAAATGCACAATAAAAACACACTCACAAAATCCCTCTAACCACAAATGTTTACACATAATCTCGTGTAGCTCGTCATCTTGTCTTGTCAAAAAAATAATAAATCTAATAAAAGTATTTTTTATGATCACTAAATCCTCAACACCACAATATTGTTCACTAAATTACCAAGAGAATGACCACTGAGATGTTGCAGTAATTGAAAATCATCTGGAATTAATCCCTTTTGCCTAATCTCTCCCAAATGGCCCTGACTAATGGCTGGGTGGAACAGAACTGCCGTCCCTCTCGGACTCTGACTAAACCTCAGAACAAATGCCCCCTTGGCAGAATTTAGCCTTTTCAACAAAGTATTTGTTTTGGTCTTCTTAGATGGAACTTTGCTTTCTTTGTATCTGAAAAAAATGATCTCCTGAAAGCATACATTTTGAAAATTCGTGTTATTTTCAGTTATTTACCCCCCAAACATATAATCTTGACAGTCAGAAATTCAATCAGTGGTGATGAAACAACAAGTAGCAGCAAAGGTACAGTAGGTCTGGTTATTGACATCAACCAAATTTACCGACATGAAGTGGAAAATAAAAATAAAAAAATTATTAAAATGTTGCAGATGTGCAGTTTAATTTACAAAACAGAAGATGTTATTGTTCAGCATTTTATTAATCTGATGGATTACAGGTGCTCCAAACAAAACAAGAGTTTGAATTATTTACTAAATGCAAAATTTTTTATGTTGGCTTGTTTTAGTCTACACTAATGGATGTCATGGCAGCCATATTGTAGGAGACAGGAAGACCCAGCTTGTTGTGTTTTGTAAATTTAATACATTTTTAAATAGTCCTGATGCATCTCAGTAATCCAGGTAAAAAATCAAAAAGAAAAAAATTGTATAGGTCTTCTGGACGGGTTCCTCTCTTATGAAACGTTTCGTCTCTCCTCCAAGAGACTTCTTCAGTCTGAGAGTTTCAGGCAAAATTCAGGCTTTTAAGCCTCCATGAGACTGATACTCACCTCACATGGCTATCATTGACACCTAATTAACACYTATTGTTAACAGGGGGTGGAGTGATACTGGCAATAGCAGCACTGTAGGAGGGGGACAACTGAAAACGGAGGCCTCCACCTCTGTTTAATGATGGACGGTCTTTCTTCACAAAAATGGCTTCTTTTACTCCTCTCTCAAACCAACGTTCCTCTCCATCAAGAATGAGAACAACCTCATCTCTGAAAGAGTGCCCGCTGGGCTGTAAATGAGTGAAAACTGCAGAGTTCTGGCCATTAGATGTAGCTCGTCTGTGTTGGGACATTCTTTTGAACAGTGGCTGCTTTGTTTCCCCGATGTATAACTGGTCGCAGTCCTCCTGGCACTTAACAGCATATACAAYATTGCTCTGTTTGTGYCGGGGCACCGGATCTTTGGGGTGAACCAGCCTTTGCCGTAATGTGTTTTGGGGTTTGAAAGCTACTGGGACATCATGTTTAGAAAATAAACGTCTCAGTCTCTCCGAAACACCCRCAACATACGGAATAACCACTGAATAAATTTATTCTTCCACTCTTCCAAGTAAAAGAATATGTCCGCCTTGGGAAAATGAGAGCTTTTTACAGTCACTTCATTATCAGGAAATAAGGAGGCCAGGCTCTGATCACATCCTGATGTCAGGTCATTCTGCCTCACTGATCCAGCTCTGAACAAGACCCCTCGGTTCAGATACTGAAGACCCACCTCCACATCTACTGGACCCCAGAACTCACCGGTGGTGATGAGAGTGAGCGAGACGCCGGCTTCGCTGAGCAATCGCTGGATGTGGTTCTTGAACAGCGTCAGCGCCTGTCCTTTCCCGCTCTGCGGGTTCACCAGCAGCAGCATGCGGCATGGCCGAGGCAAGCTGTGCAGCGACACACCTGCAAAAAGGAAACTATAAATGACTGACTGGCTGCAGCTTGAAGCGTTAACATGGGTCTCTTGGTTGGTAACTATCAACACATTTCCACAGAACCCTCTCGAATGTCTCAAGTATCCATTTATTATGTCAAACCTGAAGCCTTAAAGACAAGTAGGAATATTTAGATTTGAATCAATAATTTGACTCTATTCAGCAGCTTTGTGGAGTCTTGAGTGCAGAAGGACAGAGGTGCAACAAAAACAAATAACAAAACTAAAACCAGAGGTTACGATAATGAATGTCCTCTGTGATAAGTGTTACATGAAGAACAGAACAGACTGTTGCTCTGGGGTTCAGCACATGGCGGTGATAATCTGAACAGACTGTCTGCTGAGGTTTGTGTGTTACGATGCGTTCGCTCCCAACCAGCTGGTCAGAAAATCCCCTCAGCTCATAAAGCTGCTTCTAAAACACTTTGTCTAAACTTTTGATCTTTGAACGCGACGATTCAAACCTGCTGCTACCGCAACAACCAGACTGATATTTAAAACAATAAAAATGGTGGCATGAGAGGTGGACCAATAGTTCTCAATAAGGATTTAGACGTTTCCCTGCTTCAACACAGTAATTGACAGGCTTCTGAGTAGGCGATTGATTATTTGAATCAGGTGCGCCGAAGCAGGGAAAACAGCCGAAACAAGCAGGACAGTGGGTCATGAGGAGCAGGGTTCAAGGTGAGCTGCGACTGAAGAGCAGTCGCTCTGGTTTAAAACCAGTTACTGGCTGCAGAGTTAGACGTCAGGAATGCAGAGAAACAGGTGAAGAAGAATGTTCCCCGAGGCGCCCTCACATCCGTTTGCCTCAGAAAACTAACCTGAGGTTAACACCACTCATTCCTACAGCTTTTTTTTTGGTTTGACTTTAAACTAAACCAACTTTCTTTAAATGCATCAGATGTTTTGTTGGATCAAAAGCTTATTTATCATCTTGAATGAGGTGATAAAACACATCTCTGTCATCAGCAGCAGAGATGAAGATGAAAAAAATAAAAAATAAACAGCCAACTCCCCAACAAGAAAAGCTCTGCTCTGCGTCTCGCCTCTGTTTACTTGATCTCTGATTACAGACGTCTCATCTGCTCCCTCAAAGGCGACGGCATGGGAACTGTCCCAGATCTTAATGGTAAAATCACTGCTGAGGTATTTGCAACAGGAAATAACAGACTGCATGAAAAGGGAAGCCCAAAAGTTGGGAGGGGAAAAAAAAGCACACTTTCCAGAAAAACTGAGAATAATTCACTCAGTTACAGAAAAACCATGTTGCTGAATTAGACTTTTTGTATTTTTTTACTGAAAAAAGCTGCCTTATATAAGTAGACGATACTTGCTAATTATCAGGATGCAGAAATAATCTATAATTCTAAATAAATCCCTCTGTTGCTTCTTGATTATTTGAATATAAGAGTTTCTCACTCTGCAGAGACACTCATGACTTATGACCGTTTGCTGCGTCACACCGGATCAGTCAGCACCAACAATCAGACAGTTCAGTTTCACTGAGAACAGACAGACAGATCTAGAACGTTGCATGTGGGAATTTTAAAATCTGTTTCACATTCAAAGTCCGGAAACACCCAATTAATTATGAATGAAGGTTTTCATTCAAGAAAATTAAAGTAATTAGAGAAGTTGCCAACGGGTCAGAGGAAACAAAGAACTGCAGGTAGATTTGTACTTCCTCCAGTTTGTACGTTTGCTACAGTACTGAGTGAAAAAACATTACTGACAGGTTATTACAATGAGTATTAGTGCTGGTTAGAGATTCTGACAGTGTATAATGAGCAAAAATAACACAGTTCCACTGTCATAAAACAATATAAAAATCAATTTATTAGCTTTTATTTAAAAACAGAAATGTAAAAAGAAAACTACAGTTATGTAAGAATGAGCTTCATTGATGTTTAAACATAAAGGGGAGCGAGTCAACCTTGGAGATTTAAGGTTGCAGCCGTTTCATTATTTCAGTGAATTTGAGAGAAGCAGCATTTTAAATGAAGGCCTGATTCTTTCTGTGAACTGAGGAGTGGAAGCCGCYCGAACAGGGGCAGATTTTTGCTGAGCCGTAACCACGAAGGGTGTGGAAGGCTGAGGAGGAGGAGGTGGTTAGCCTGCTGAGGAGATGAAATAAGGAAGAAAAAAGGAAGGTTTTGGAACGGAGGTTTGAAATGTGCTGCACCATGAACCCAGAGGGTTTATGATGGGAAATAATTGTTTGTTGAACGTGCAATCTGTTCCTATCTTTCCAGATCTTTACAGGATTTTGTGCTAACACATGATGATCATGTATGGGCAACCTGTTTGTGGATAAATACTGTTTCCTGCAACCTCTACTTTCTGTAATTTCCCTTTGGGATCAATAAAGTTTTCTGAATTGAAATGAACTGAATTTAGGAATAAAATACACTTCTTTAGTAGTTTTTTTTATTTAAACTAGTCATACAGCTGACTAACTAAAACAAATGTGTTAAATGCTTCCTGGATTATCTTTGTCCTTGAAGAAATAAAAAGATTTAACTGTCACCTCTTGACAAATTCTGCTCATTTCTTTAATGACTGCACACTTTGATAAGTCAAGTTGATGGTTTGAGTGTGGACTGTGACAAACAGCATTTCACTGGGTTACATTGTGCATTCAAAATCGATTTATACGGCTGAACATCCTTGCTAATAAAGTTTGCATGAGAAAGAAACACGTCCTGCAGTGGTTTGGATGTTTGAATGTGTTTTGTAAGTCATGGTAAAGCAGAGCGCTGTCATTTCAGACACAGCGTTCCCACTGCACGAGGCCCCCGCAGCTCCAGAGAGGACGATAAACTGATTCAGAGCTCTGAACACACATCAAGACCCATCGCAGCAAACGTCTGATGAGAAGTCCTCAGGGAGAAGAGCTGCTGCTCTCACTGCCCTCTGACTGAACACAACATGCCTCTGATCCTACAAATCTGCTGAAACCTGCTGGGTTCTCTTTAACTGGGACAAACAAAGACCAAAAACTCAAAATGTCAAGAATGTGGATTCACYGGGAGGCCACTAGTTTCTTTTTTTTTTTTTACTCAGGAGGCAGAGATAATTTTTTTCAAAAGAAATGACGAGCACTTTATTTTTGGTGCAGGGCTCGAGCAGATAACTCACACTTATCACGTTCAAACACACACACAAACACACACCCAGAAATGGAGGCCTATCACCGCAGGACGACGTCACAGAGCCGCTGGAGGGGCCGCAGACTTTCTCTGCCAACACGTCCCCTTTTTTGATTTTGATTTGAGAAACGGTACAAAAAAAAATAGTTGCGGTTCTGTCCCTGCTGTGAACGTTGCTCCGGTTAATAAAAGGTGAAATTCTAACCAGGTCTAATGATGAACACAATGCTGTTTGATAAGAGCTGAACCCTTGTGGACACGGATCCGTCTTGTATTGACCACAGGAAGTGACTGTTCGTTGATAGAGTCTGATAACCGGCTCAGTTCACAGCTGACATCAGCACCAATACACTGTTACCTGATAGGATTCTGGGAAGTTTAGATTAAAACAACAAGAAAACAAAACACTACGTCACTACTACGTCCATTTTATTGACCAAATATTAGTGAGTAGATAGAAAGAAAATAAGAATGTAGTCTCTCCCAGGCAGTTTATTATATATTCACCCATCAGAGGACAATGGATCTGGAGGAAATGGATGCTTTCTAAATAATTCTGCGAGTTAGGCCAGAGGTCAATGACAGCCCCTGATGATGAGGTCAGACCTCATTTGRACTAATGGTTTGTCTGCAGGACATGATCAGAAAAATCCACAGTGCTGGTGTAATGGCTGACTGCACACTGCCTTTAGTGATACTGCCACATTCCACAGATACCAAAGAAGCCTGCAGCTCCAATAAGGTTTCATATTAACATCAGTGACGATGAGAGCGCTCAGAAATTTGACCCTCGGATACGAAGAAATACCTGAACTACATATTTCTGCTTTCAGGTTTTGGTTCCATTAAGACTCTTTAGCTTCATTTAAGCCTATATAAGTAATTATCTTGACCAAAGCGCTATAAAGTACTTGAAAAAAAAAAATAAGTAAAAGTAAAAGTACCTTAACAGAAAATGACTTTGGTAAAAGTAAATTTCACTGATGAGAAAAGTACTTAAGTAAAAGTCAGAAAACTGTTCACAAAAATAGTGAAAGTAAAAGTATTTTTACATGCTCTCTAAGAAATAATCTGTTGAATTTACTGAACCAAACTGCTTCCACAAGCTGAGTAAATTAATATGTATATTGTTTTATTTTCACTCTACTGGGTTTAATGGAACCAGTTGACATGACTTGGTTGAGTAAATTCAACACTATTTTTTTAGAGGGCATAAACAACTCCTTTCATGATGAGTTCAGACAGATTTAATTTTGTAACGAGTAACTAGGTGGTAGATGTTAAAGTAAAGAAGTAAAATGATTTGCAAACCTTCAAAAAAAATTACTTAAGTACTGTAACAAAGTAAATGTACTTAGTTACTATAAACCTCTTATTTTGATTAATATTATAATTAATAACGTAATGGTGGAGCCAGGGGGTTGGCCGCCATAGATTAAGCTTCTGCCGCCCCAATCATTTCAGGAAACRTTTTAAGCAACATGAACAGAAAGCATAGTTCACTCAAATAATTAGGGTGGCCGGTTGGCACAGATATAATGGTGGCCATCTTGGACTATGACGTGGAAACCCAATTTTCCCTCATGATTTTTCTTACAACTTAATGGAAGTCAGTACTTTGCCTATTTTTCAGTTTATCCAGCTCACAGGATGGACAGACATTTATGCAGCAGCCATCTTGGATTTAGACAGGGCAACTCAATTTTCTATAGGAAACTCTCATGGTACCTAACTTATTTTTCCAAGTTATCAAGCTCACAGACAGACGAACAAAGAAATTTATTTCTGAAGGCATCATTTTAGCAACTTCAGCCTTC